ACAGGTTAAAGCTTTTTGACCAAAATAGCACAGTTTCAAGGAGGGAATGTACCAGAGGAAAGCATGAGCCAGATAGCAAGCCCGAAGTGGAGGGGAAACCCAAAAGGCTTATGAGACATCATCGTGTAAACTCTGCTTTTATCTATTTATTTGGAAACCTTTAGGATAAATAGAAGAGACTTAAAATAGCTGTAATGCAGATCAATCCTCCAAATCCAGTAGCTTGTACTGGCAAGCTTCTCTGTAGTCCCTCAAGTTAATAGACGTGGGAATAACCCATGCCTGCAGGTGCAGCAGTGCCCTTGGTTTGCCAAGCCTGGCTGCTGGCCAGGTCTCCAATGCCAGCACATGGCAAGGGAGAGAGCTGCAGTTCAGTTCAGGAGTGGAGAAGCAAGACACGTGCTGTTGTGGAGTACATCTGCTTCTCCACTCCTATCTTCCATCACCCTCTCTGCTGATTATCATCACTTTTAGCACACTTTCTTCTGTTCCACATCTCCTCTGTGTTATCCGTGGATGAGGAATAAAGTCTTTCACTGGCAGCACCTCTTGTGTTTTTAGTGCTGCTGCTTCTTCAGTTATTCTAACTGCAACTAGAACCAAACCTCAGACTCCCTTTTCAGTAAAACCCTCATTTCAATTAAAAAGCAAAAAGGCATAATGTACTTTAAGTACCATCATTAAAACTCTTACCGATGTGCTTCAGTGTAATAGTGTGATTAGACCTACTCCAGTCAGTAAGAGATGATCAGGGCATTACATTTATAATAATAAGATAAATAAGGATAAGGATAAATATGAGAAAATCAACATTTCCTTAAATGGTCATCTAAAAATACATTCAGCACAATCATTAGATCTTTTTTTCCATATGTAAAAGCATGATTTTAATAGAATTAATCCCTGAGTTCACCTGTCAGCCTTTGACAGCATTCTGTCCTTCTCAGGAAGGGAGATCTGCTACTTACCTCTCTCTTTCAGCTTTATTTTTGATAGACTTGTCTTGGCTTATGGCTTTGCTGTTCTCCATAGATATTTTAGCCTGGTTGGCACGCATCTCCTTGCTTTCCCTAGGCAAAACCAAACACAGTTATTAATGCCTAAGATGCAATTGTGGAGGTTGGTTTCCTCTACACTGTGGTTAATTCTGTCCTTGAAGCATTAAGGAAGAGGAAAGAATAAACCACACAAAAATCGCCTCCCTTCGGGTAGGCTTTACACAATTTGAGTAAGCATCCAGAGATCTCCATTTGTTCCGCTGAATAAAATCTGAAAGATCAGCTTAAAGTATTTTTACACTTTGGACACTTAAGAGGGTATAAAATATTCTCTTTTCTCCCTAGTATATGAGTTGTCTTAGTATAAGCTACTATCAGCCATTTAGAAAATGCAATTTGTCTTTTAGAACTGCCAAAAAAATTTACAAATCCTGCACTCAGAACATGACAGCAGTATCAATAGTAATAATATTTGCTAGCTGTGGTATGAGCTGACAGATTTCCTTGCAAGATTTCTACTCTGGGCCTGAAAAGAGCCCTATGGTTTTGACCATGGTCAGACTTGTGTTTGGCTTCTCCTTCTGGCTCAGTGAACCTTTTGGCCTTTGTGTGAAACGAGAGACCTTTAACAGTGGCAATCCCCTTCCACAGGTAACATCCTGAGTGATGTGGTTTGCCTTGGGATGTGGAAAACCTCTTCAGTGTTCTAGCCAGTGTAGTAGAAAAACAGAAAATTAGTAAATAAATACCCTGTTGTTTTAAAAAGAAAAGCTTGTGATTCTCTGTGGGAGCAGCAGCACAGATGCTGCTTTCAGAAAGGGGGGGGTGAAGTGTGAGTGAGCACAAGGCTTTCCATCACACCAGGTAAGCCAGCCAAGCTCCAACAAGGCCATCCTTGAAGGCTAGGCTCTTTCTTTCTGCCTGCTTAGCATTCCACCACTCGCAGCTTCTCATCTTAAGTACACATTTAAACAGGAATTACACACAAAAATTAGAGAAAGACAAACTGTCAATTCCCCAGCAGTGGATAAACATCTAAAAGTGAGCACTCAGAAGCCCAGGCAGGACCTTACTCTCTTTTTAGCATTCTACTTAGGATTATGTCCAGAAACAATTATTGTACTAGTTAACCCAACATTCTAAGAATTTTGTAAGCACAGGAGGGGTGTGGCACAGAAAAGTGCTTAATTTAATGCAATGTTGTCACAGAATCTTTTTTATCTTTCTTTCATCTCTAAAAGACATCTATTGTTAAGTAGCATGAGGAAATGTTGACATATTTTCCACAGTTAAAAATTTCTATCAGTGTGGTGCTTTTTTTTTAAATTAAAAAATCTCCAAATATTCATAAGGTGAAACATTTGCTGATTTAAAAGCAATGGTATCACATAAAAAATTAGTCTGAGTGCTAAAAACTGTTGTGCTGAGAACACATTTCATTCCAACAGACCTTTGTACAAATAAAAGCTTTTATTTTCTATACTGAGTCTGAAGTAATTTTCAAGCACGTTGTCTTAAGAGAAGTACTGAAATAATTTATTTTCATTACTGTGCTCGAGGATATGAAAAAAGTTAGTGTAGGTGTTCAAACTGATTTACCCTGTTTGCATCTGATATAATTTCAGACTGAAAGAAGTTAAGAGGATTAGAGGACTACTGTGCATCACTGATGATTTCAAAATGAGGCTTTGGCCATGGAGATGGCTGAAAGAGCCAACACATCTATATGCAACTGTTTATTCTGCCAGCTATAATCTAGTTCTGAGATGCACTGCTGATGGGTGTTTATGGGGGTGTTGGGTTTTTGCTTGCAAGAAATAAAAGATATTATCAACATAAAAAGTGAAAAATCTTGTATTCCCTTTACAATCATCTAAAAGCACTTGTAGGGACAACTGCTTGATTCAAAAATAGTGTTTCTCAAAGACAGGGCCAAAGTTCTAGTGTCAGCTCAAACCGCCTGGTGTGGGGCTTCATGTTGGGTCTCCAGATTGGCAGTGCTAGGCCACCAGTGGAAACACCCTCACAAGCAGTGGTGATGCCAGGAGCCAGAGGTAACTGGAAGAAGTAGATAAGCCAGAATGGTAGAGAGAAAAAAAAAAAAGAATTCTGAAAAATGTGGCACAGCAAGATTTAACCGATTTCCTACCGTGCCATACTGACTACAACTCTGAAATTTATGCAAACATGTCTTTTAAAAGGATATTTAACTTTGAGCTTGTAAGTCTATGCTTGGAATTTATATATATATTTACATGACATTAAAGTGCATTAACATGTTATTTTATGTCAGCAGTACTGTTTCAACGACTAGCGATCTCTCCTATTAAAAAAACCCACCGCATAATTTTTCTCTCTCTCATGCTATTTTATCTGAAGCACATAATGCTTGTGAATAATAGCTTCATGTCCTCAATTTCTGAAATGCTGCAAGATCACTACAGCCAAGTCAGTAAAGCTAACTCAGTCTGGGGAGGCAGGGGGCACAGCACCCCTAGAGTTCAATAAGCTTCAGATTTTCAGTAGTACCTGTGGCCTTCTGCTTTGTTTTTAAATGAGCTCAAAGCACAAACTATAATTGCTTTTTGTACTGCACATGGAGGGAAAGTATCTACACTACAGCAGATAACTACATCATTTTAGATTATTGATCTCTCCTACTAGCCCTGTGTCCTCTGTTGTTATAGCCAACTCATTACCTCAGCTCACAGAGAGGGAAGTGGCAGGAACAGCATGCTGAGAACATGGTCCACCTCCCACACTGCTCTCGGAGAGATCCTTGTTTTCCTATGGTTACCTGAGTTGTCTCTTGGCTATTACATGCACCTCTACACATACATGCATATGTATTCATACACATGATCTATTATATAAAAAACGTTTACAAATTATTAAGTGTGAAGTCTCTTTGAGGCATTACTATTCACATTTCAGCATTTCACAGCCCAGATTATTCTGAAATACTCATAGATTCAGACACAGTCTTAAATTTGTTTGAAACAGGAAAGTCCCCAGTCTGCATGTTTAGGACTTACAGACAAATTCCAAATAAGCAGAAACACAGTAAATTGCAATGAATAAAGTAGGAAGAATAATAGTGAAGGTTGTTACTCCTGAGACAGGAGGAAAGAAAGTTCTCAGTATTTATCAGGATGTAAATTTTCAGATCGGGTTCTCAGAGGCTCTGAAAATAGAGCAATATATAGACTGAACACAAATGATTTCTAGTAAGAACACAAGATCCATTGCTAAGAATATAAGAATCATGCACAAGAAATGACAGAGGGCTGTGTAAACAACATAGAGATACAGAAGTCCTAAACCCAAAAGACTAAAACTACTAGACAAAAAAGCTTTAAAAAATTTAAACTTTGCCCTGGCATATATATAATAGTTGCCTGGAATGACAGCTTCTATCAAAGTTAGGAGAATAAGGAAATATGTATAGAAAAGAAAACAAAAAACTTTCACAGGGTATATATTAGTAAATTATCTTCTAAGCATTGTGGTGAATTTCAAATAGGACAGAAAAAAAAAGACTCAAAAGAAAAAAAAAAGAAAGTGATGTGATTTCTTGGGCTGACGCATCATGGTATGATTTAGAGATATGGCACTAAGGACTGCACCTTCCTCTGGCTAATAACTTTTAAATGATGAATTTGTACTATAATTTAACAATTTCTAGACTTCATTTTTGACTGGGTATGTTTTTCAGGATAGCTTGAATAGATGGGTTAACACAGAGATTAACATAAAGATGAGCTCACTACAAGCCTTTTGCTGGGACAATTCTCTGTTGGATGGAAAGCATGCAGGTCCCAGCATGTGTTCTCTCTGATGCAAAGATAAGCTGTTTTTTCACTCAGGAGTTTAAAAATATCATTTAAATTCCTTTTCAAATGTGATTTATTTATTCCTTTCCCCCATACTTTTTATATGAAAGATGCTGAAGACAATTACATATGAATCTATATATGTATGGATATATATGTGTATATGTACACACACATTTTATATTCGGATGCTTTTAGGCTGCTTTGCATAATAAATCACAGCATAAAAAATTATTCCTCTACTTACTGCCATTTTTAACACTGTGGATATGATGTGTATTTAATTTCAAATGGGTAGGATGGCTAATTACAAAAGCAGTACTGCCATGCCGTATCTTCTGTATTTCCAGTGATTACCGCAGGATATTGTATGAAGATAATACGTCGGTCTAATGTAGCTTGTCCAGCAACCCCTTGTTTTTATGATCTTGCTTTTTGTGGATCTTTCTTATTATCACCAGTGCTATAAAAATGAGACCACAACTGACAGCAACTCCAAAGGATATCTCCATATTTGATATCTCTCAGTTTCTAGTCTCCGAAGTTCCAGGGTAAAGTTGATGCAAACTACCACCACATCAGCATATCTGCTGCCTTTAATGAAGTTCAGATAGTCTAAACCAGCTAAGAATTACATTCCTTCATCTACCTAAACCTTGTGTGATGACTTCTTTTACTTCTACTATGCATTCAGCCCACAGTGTCTTTGAGAGCAGTACAGGAGCTATCAACACAAAAAACTAAACCATTACACAAAGCAGACATACACCAAGCCACCCTTACCAGGTAGTACTGCCCTGCTCACCTGTCATGGGAAAATTTTAGCTGCTGGGTTTGTTGTTCATGAGCATTAATTAGCAGTTTCTTCAGTAGTTCACACTGTTGGTTCAAGTGTAAGTCACGGATTTCTTGCTCTTCGGCGCTATGTGTATTGATCATCTCCGACCACTCCTTAGTGTGCTGTGCCACAATCTCTTTCACCTGTAGGGAAGTAACAGCAGCTTTGTTAGAGGTTCTCAGGCTGGGAGATCAACTATTGCTGCTGCTGCTGATGATGTAAAGACAATTATAAAAGAGATTACAAAGAAAGAAGCTAAATTGTGAAAGATGAAGTTACACAGATGAAGTCGCTTCACAGATAACAAAGCCACTGATGACGCTACCACATGCATTATAAAAATAGATGTAAACCAACCCCTACTATTAGGACACTATTATCTAAACTGCCCTGAACAGACATGCTCATGACTATACTACCAGTAATTTAAAACATTATCTAACACTGAATTCATAATAAAATGGTTTCACATTTTTGTTAGCCAAGAAAAAAATGTATATTAAAAGCACTGAACTAAACAATGGGAAAACCTAGAGAACAGGACTTCTCTGAGTGCTTAAAGACACTCTTTGATTTTGTGGAGACAGTTTTGCAAACACAGCCAGTTTACAGAGAAATCATGTGTTTACTACAACCTGAATCTGAAGATGGGCTACATATCTTTGGTTTGTATTCATTAAGTCAGAAGGGAATCTGACAAGGATTCTTCTCTGGCTTATCTCCCAAGACTCAAAAGAATAATGAGATTAAAGTTTTGGAATGTTCCCAAGAGACAATGTTAAGAAGCCTAAATCACTAGAGTTGTTATTTTTATAATATATCACACTCAATTATTTCAGAAAGAAGCTAATATAAAGATATGTTTTATTAGCCTTTAATAATTATCTTTGGGTATTTTGACATGCTACCCTACTTTTCCATAAATGGTATACAAAATACGCCTCCCAATAAACCTATTTTAAGGTAATCATTTCAACTGCTACTATGGTAACTAATAACATCTGGGTCATCTTCTATCAAAGTAAACTTTATTCTTCATATCAAAAATTGCCACCACATTGCTCAGCAAGTGAGAGACTGATTCCAGTATTTTAGCTGTGGGCCTACATAGGGGTCTGCATAATGCTGAACAGACTCTCCTGCACACAGTGATGAGGGTGAAGGGAGAGAGTACCTTATCAACCCCAGACTTCATCCTGCCCTTGAGAGGCTCTGCTAAAGGCTCTTTTACACAAAGCTCATGTTGTCTAATAAAGCTGGACTCCAATGAAAAAAAAGCAAGTCATTCTGGAACAGATCAGGGTGACTACCACTACCTGAAAGCCAGATTTGCATTTAACTGTAGCTAAATAGTGGTCCCATATCAAAACAGGTAGGACTGGAGGCAGAAGCAGCTGATAGAGAGCAACCTGCATTTTCCTGAAGCTGTCAGAAAACAACAAAAGCATTTTGAGGCAGGAGAATTGTAAGACTAGTACAGGTCTAATTCATCAGGGTGTTTCAGAGTGAGCGTACCTCCAGCAAAATAAGCTATGTTTATTTTTGTGTATGTGGGGAAGTGTACTACTAAACCAGAGCCTATCGACTATGAAATAATATGAAGGATGTGGGAGTAGTGTTTTTAATAAGATGTTCATAAGATTTTCTGTCTTCAGAGCCAGAAAAACATGAGGATTCAGCTTTAAAATGGGTCAAAATAAATGCCTGGATGTTGGTCAGGAAGAGAGACTAATTTTTCAGATGGAGTTTTTGAAAGGTTTGAGGGGCAGATATTACAGCTCACCTCTGGCACGCACCTAAGGCACTTAATTTAGGACCAAGTTTAGTCCAAGCTCCTTGTATTGGTGATGTGAAAAGGTGGGCAGTTTCAGAAACACATGATTTATCACACCTAAACACTGTCTGGAGATGCCTCTTTTACACCTACAGGGCCTCAAGCAACTGGACACTTCAGTTAGGTTGCATGAATAACCTCTCAACAGTTACCTCATTCGACTTACCAACCTCCAGGGAGACCTAGTGTGGACTCAAGAGAGCTAAATATCAGTCATGGCTGAAATGCTTAGGAAAACCCATTCCTTATTTATTTTTAATGCAGTGTTTCCAGATGGAGTCAGCTCCATCTATGATTTGCAGAAGAAAGATACAGGTAGATCAATCTAAAGTCCTGGATGTAACTGGGACCAGAGCAGAAGAAGGACCCCACATTCAGAAAGTATAAAGTTAGAATGCTAGAAAGTATTAATATTTTAAAAAGACAAGTGCTATTATGTGACCCAGGGAGCAGGCCAAGTATTCTCCTCCGCTGAATGCTGCTATGTGACTCCCAGTCTGCCATTTAGGAGTGCATCCCAGACTAATCTGAAGCATTAGAAAGTGCAGGGGATATTACCATATGAGATCTGATTCCTAAGCACAGTTTTACATCCCCTTAAAATGACAGGTAGGCATTCTAATAATGACAAAAAGTTTGCCTTTATTTACAGCCTCCTTATGCTGTAGAGAAAATGCAAAACAATCTTTGCATAAAAAATGAAGCATATTAAAACAGTGAAACAAATAGATGTATGGAACCATAAATATCATTGATTCCAACTCCCAAAGAATCCTGCAAGGAGACTACAGCATGGCAGTACCTCAGATATTTAATGTGAGAATGAAGTAAGAATCACAAAAACCTGCCTCTGTTCAGGGATAGATATGTACTAGTGACGTGCTGCTAATTCCAGAATCAGCATGCAGTCTAAGAAGCAGACACAGCTCATTGTAAAATGAGTTTTTCTCTAGGGATGGGAGAGAAAGAGAAGGTTTCTTTTATTACATATCTGCCAAGGCAGAAGTCTCATTTCAGGTACAGCAAGATATAACCTTATGAGAAGGATGTAAGGTATGTGCCAAACACCAGTTACAAGACTTTAAACACTCAATTTCACTCAGATTCAGAAGAACTTAGAACTCATGACCATTAAATCATCTGATGTAAAACATGAGTCACATTTCTTGGATTTGGAAGACTAATGAAGATTTGAAGGTCCCTTGTGTACAAATGACACATCTTAACTCCAGACTGTGAACGACACAGGTTAGAAGCAGAGATCACAGCAAAGAATTTTCTATGTAACTTCAAATGAGTTTTGGAGCTTATGTCTGGATAATTGGGAGTTAGTGCTCCTTAGACATTTTATTTCCCTAAGTGATTAATGAATTTTTAAATTTTTTTAAAGTTGTCAACAAATTTAGTTTTATTTAAGGAAATGGGTCTGGACTTTCCATAGGGGAAGAAGATGGGGAGATAAGAGAGTATGCTAGGTTTTACTCCTGGGGGTGTGCTACATCTTCAGCTGAGAGGGCAGCAACAAGAAAGCAACCAAAGCATCCTTGTTTCAAAACCCAAGATCTTCTCCACGTTAAATAATAAAAACAAAGAAGAATATTAAAAGACAACAAGATGAAAATGAACTTATTCTAGCCTGAAAGATGTGGCCGTGTTTGTTTGTAGTTTCTATACTGGACTAATGCTCTTTACAAGTTTCAGCTTTTACTGAGGTCAGTCTTCAGTACTGTTCTCCCTCCAGATCATTTTGCACATGGATGAATCTTCTAGTGCCTCTGCCACCCTCTAAGTCTGGATATCTTTCAGAAACTTGAAAGCATCAACAAGCCATGGATAAAACTACCAAAGGAAACAGGAATTTGGTGAACACAATAGTAGCATAGAAGCACAAAGGAAGCAGAACAACTCAATGTGAGCCATGAGCTTGAAATTAGCTTTTCCAAATAAACTGAGGTTGAGTCCCAGAGTACTTTTATTCTCCAGCACCATGGAGAAGACAAAGCAACAAAGCAATGGAAAAGGAAAAAAAATACTAGAAATAAGAAGACATTTGGTTCAGGAGCAACTTGAACTCCTCCTTCCCTAAGAGAAGGACTAGCAAGTGTTGTCCATGGCGATAATGATGGAAAATGAAAAAGAAACTTCTTTATGCATATATTTTGGGAAAGTATTTAGTATCCAAATTTCATGTAACATATATTCTCTTTGTTTTGCTAGAACTGACACAAATGACCAGTTTCACTTCAGTCTCCCAAAATTTCAAAACAGCAGGAAATTGATGTTGCTTTAAAAAGTTTTTTAAGAAACACTTTTAGACACTAAATTACTCCCATTCTTTTCAACATGTTACTATTACTGAAAATCATTCATATGCTTCCAAGAAAATTAACTATGACTTAGGTCTTACAATCTCTCTTTCAGATGTTGCATGTGTTAAAATTGGCTGTTTGCTTACCTTAGATTTGTGATCTGATGTTAGTGTCTGAATTTTAATTTCCGTTTCTTTCTTCAATTCAACACAATTACTTCCTCTAAAAAAAAGAAAATTGCAAATGTATGCCACAAGTTAAACATCTCCCCATTCAGTCAGCTCTTACTAATTAAAATGTTAATCAAAGTTGAAGTGCTGCAGCGTATTGGAATGAAATTATTTCTTCTGGCAATTCATTCACAACTTAGAAAATATTGCTGGATTAATGATCATTCAATTCAAACACCACATGATTAATTCTAGATTGGCCCAGCAATTATTCTGTTGCTGAGGATGTGTCAAGTATCTCCATTTATGACACTTGGTTCCTTTTCCAGGCTTAAAATACCTTGCCAAGAGAAACCAGTTTCTGCCTGAAAACTTACAGGCATATTCATTGCCTTGCCATAATTTTAGCCTCTGTTTTAAAAGTAATTTTGCTACTTTTATTTAGTTTGAGGCAGAGAAAAAGAAGTAATTTGAATAATTACCTCAAATTTGGGCATTTTGAACACCTATTGAAAGTGTAGGTGTCCCTCTGTGAGAAGACATAAGTGAATGGGTTGCAAAAAAGGGGCCCCATTACCCTCGCAGACCACACCGACCAATGTGGATGAATCAAAGCCATTAGATACCTTACATGACTTGGAAAGCGGCAAATCTTGGAACCAGTTCTCACTCCTGCAATAAGCCTTTGTGTTTGGGTAAAATCAGTGGGGTTGAATGTCAGTTGCACAGCTGTTTAATGGAGGAGGAGTGCAGGATGCTAAGGAACAGGCTGGTAAAAAACCTGCAGAAGGCCCATGCTGAACCCCCCCAACATGCCTGTGGGTTAGGAGATGGATGATTTCTACCTTCTGCCCACAGAATTGCCTTCACTAAGCTCAATTACTTGGGTGGGACAGATGTACAGAAAAACTATTCCATTGCAGCTACAACAGGAATTTCAATTACTGTCTCACCAAGTGAATACACTGGTGAATGTTGATAAGCTCCATCATTACCAATCTTCTTGCAGTAGAGTTTTAAAACAGAATACAAATTCACACATTGTAAATCTCTGTTCTTTTGTCTGTGTATATATATGTATTTTATATATATATATATATATAGAGAGAGAGAGAGAGAGACAGAGAGAGAGAGGAGTCTATTTAACATCACTGTAATATTTCTGTGTTGGATTATCCACTGATGTAAAGTTGTGCAACTCCACTGAGTGGATGGAGCCATGTTCATTTCATCATCTGCAGCTGGCCCTAATGAGAATGGTCACTGCTTGACTGAAGTAACATTAATCCATGTTTGCTCTAGAAAAGGAGATTTATGCAACTCTTAACAAGTTCAAATCCTATTTTAATATCAAAGTACTGCTAAACTTACAGAAATTAGCAGAAAAAGTTATCGTCAAACAGTACCAGGAAAGGTCTTACTGAAAGTAGTAGTGTGGTGTGTCTTGTGTTCCCAAGGGCCATCAGAAGGACTAGTAATTTATTTTGTAGCCAAAGCAAGAGAAATTTTGTTAATATTTCTAACACTCATTTGACACTTTGGAAGTATTGTAAAGACAGAGACAGAGGTTCTGACTACTGTTACCTCTCCCTAAAAAGCCCCCTACAGTTGGAAAGAAAGTGTCTTTGATTACACATACATGGTATAATGCAAATGGGATTTGTTGTACACTATGAAGGAGATTGCTTCTTGGGTGAATCAGACATACTTGATCCCAAAATAGTCTTAATTAGTTCAATCAGTGGACTTTTCAAAATCCCAGACATCAAAACCACCAGCTGATCTCTTCTTTGGAAATGCACCTTTCATGATATCTCAAGGCAACTTCCAGCCACGCTGGACACAGGACATAACAGAATTGTCCCAAGCTGCAGTGGCACAGTCCATGGTTAAACCATCAAGTCACAGCTGGGAACAATAACCAAGGGAAAGCCCAACCCAGTGTCACATGTCCATACTCATGCACATGCATACAGTTTAATTTTTGGACAGTCCCTATAAATCAAAGGATCTTTATGTGCTCTCACTCCATTTCAGAGGGAAAACTCCAAATTCCCATAAACCTCCCTGAGATTTGTAAGCATTTGAAGTGTATGACAGAAATAGCAAAAGGAGCAAAATCCTGTCCATCTCTCAGTGAATTAGGATGTGACTAAAAAATTCTACTTTGCTGAACAATATGCAGGTGACATTTTGGCCACATTATGTATGTGGCAGAAATGGACCACAAAAGACTACATGACAAGATCAGAAGAGAAAGTTAACTACACACCTATCAAAAGTCTTTTTGTCAGGAAACATCTGACAATTTCAACATGAATGCCTTGAAAACATATTTTACATGTTCTTTTACAACTTTTGTTGCTTGCAAACATTCTAAAAATGATAGCCAAGGAAATGGAGCATGTCCTGTACTCACTGAACCCAGGACTGTGGATTCACCAGATCATTTAAGTTCAATAAAAGTTTTAAGTCTCGACCAATGTGTTCACTTTAAAGCATGTCCTTTAATAGACTGCACAGTTGGGGTGTGCAGAAGTACCTTGCTGAATGGGCTTTCAGGGCTGCACACACAATGACCCTGAAGGAAACACTTAAAATATTTTGATACAGAATTAAAAAGTGTTTTCACAGAAAGTCTGTGCTGATACTGGTTTTGATTTAGCTGTTAATTAGATACCAACAGTTATTCTTGTAACACTGAAGAGCCATTAGATGACTGAGAGCTCTGGAGTCCATAGGAAGAATGGAGTCATGGTAAGAAACAGTATGTGGTTGTGTATTGGATCTGCTTCTGTAGTGGTCATTTCCAATTTTTTTTAAAATTTTAAACTCATTGATAATTTAAAAGTCTCATAAAGACTTTGGTGTCCATGGAAGTAGTGTTATAAAATTAAGAAAAGATGCTGCAAGTATACAATGAAGTGATCTCAAACTGGGAATCAACTACTTTGATACTTGTCCCATTTGGGATTACTCTGGAAAGCAGTGTTACCCAGAGCTTTGAGGTACTGACCGCACAGAGATAGCCATCACCACCTTGAACTTTCTGACACACCTTCCTCTGCTGTTTGGCCTAGACAGGCAGAGGCACTGGCTTCTTCTCAGTCCAACAGGAATTCTGAGAATCTTAAAACGCCAGAGCACAGGGAAGCTACTGTAATAGATAACCTGACTGTAATTATAAATCCAGCTATATCAATAATCTTCTGCTGTGTTATAGTCAATGAAATTGAATCAAAGCCAGATTAAATGAAATCAGTCCCACAGTTGCCCCACCTCTGTTTGGAGAAGCAGTACTTTTCTGAAAGAAACTACTTGGATTACAAGTATTTGGATGCTTACAGTTCTCCTTTCTTGGACAAAAAAATACATGACCTTCTCAAAGAGTTTGTGAAGTTCAATAATTTAGTAAGGAGAATTCTCCTAACCTTGTTTACTTCTGACAGTTCAGTTTCTGTCTGGTGCAAGTTTACAGCATGCACACTCAAAATACACCACTATTCCAAATGACTTCTAAAAAAGTATTTGTGGAAGAATCCAGTGCCAAACAGGCATCTATGTTCAGTGTTCAGTGAGTGAGCTCATTGCCAGCTGTTGTTGCCAGATGACAACAATATGAAATTAAGGCTAAGCATTAGCATAGCTGGATATAGAACTAAAGCAATTTCTGCTGTCTCAATGAAATGCCAGTCATAGGGTGAAAGGTGGAGAGGAGAAACTGCTGCCAGATTACACCATGGCAGCAAAGCAATGGCAGGTCCTGCTACTTAATTCCAAATTAGAATTAGACATCTTATTAAAGTCATCAGTATCTTCCAGGAACCTTTCTGGGACAAGTAGGAGATTCGCATAGATAATATCCCAGGACATCAGCTAGTGCAAATCAAGACATCTTCACTAAAGTCAGAGGAGTGATACTGATTTATCCTAGCTGAGGATCTGAAGGCTTTTTCTGTTAAAAAGAAACTTCAACTCAACAGCACAGTGAAACTCTATTATTCTAAAACATTCAGCATTTTGAACTCAGCTTTTTCCTCAAAATTGAATGATTGCTGCTCTCTGGTCATTAGCACCATTGAGGACTTTAGTCTGCTCTCACCGAACACAACAGTGACATTCCCTGGGGGGTGCAGTGAGACCAGATTAGACCACAGAAATAAAACCTTGAGGCAACTTCGTTGTTTTTACTATTAAAACTCTGATAGTAGAAGACTGGAGAAAGGCAAGGTGAATACAACATTTATGGCCTATTGCTAGAGCCTTCAAGCTCTTCAATGACCTCATTCTCAGTTTGATGCAGGATGCTGGTTCAAGCTGCAATTCATTCATCTGAATGACCTTTTTATGAATGATTTATTCCAGACCACAAAAGCATAAAATCCATTGTAAGTCTAAAAAAACTATTTAAAAATAATATCTTACCCTTTCTTCTTGATTGCCTTCTCTAACATTTTCTCGTATGACACTTTTTCTTTATCATACTGGGCCACTATTTTGTCAATTTGTGTGCAGTGCAACTTCTGCATAGCGGTGTGCTCCTGGAAAACAGTAGGACCTGACAATTAGGTTGCTGAATTTTTAATGTTTAGTTTTCTTACAGTGTAAAAAAAGATCAGTGCACAACCAGGTAACCTTGACAATGGGATTTATTCTGGTTTAGCCATCTGGCATTAAATATTCCAGATATTCCACCATAAGCACCAAAACATTTCTTCTTTGTTTGAAAAATTAAAACCTGCAGTGAACCTTAAAAATAAGGCATACCTTAAAACAGGATAATGATGGGAAAAAACTTCATTTTAGAAATAAATGTCCATTTAATTGCAGTGTAAAAAATGCAATTCACAAGCTCACATCATATCACTCAAAGTTTCTGAATGCAGAGGAGAACAAAACTCAACCCAGCCCTCTCCTTCCTCTATGTATGTCATACTGAATACAGTGCTAGCCCCTTAGCCACTGCAAATCAAAATAGCTCCAAGTTCAAACATTAGCTAAAAATCAAAGCATTAACAACTGATATTCTAAAGATCTGGCCTGTGACCCCTAATGACAGCAGTATTCTTATAATTAAGAAATTCCATCTTGTGGCAGAACATCTCCTTTAGCAAGTGACAGCAAACTGTGCAATACAACTTTGAACTACATGTGCAAAGTGCAAATAACCATTTCCCCCTGGTTTTCCAACCCCAATCAATACAGCACATGCTGACAAACTGGACAAATAGGGTCACCTGTGGAGCATTACACATCAATGCTAAACCAATGTCACTAGTACAGTTATGTGACTTACACCGGTGAAGTGGCAGAGGAGGAAGGTAATCTATGGCAGAGAAGGCAAAAACTTTTGATGTGACAAAAAGATGACTCACTAACCCATATTACACACTTGAGTGTGTATACAGACCGTTTCTTTCCATTGTTAAGGCTGTACCAGAAACAACACACTTCATTATTGAACTTAACTTCATATTCTCCCTTATCAGAACAGCTGCTCATAACGATGCAAATATTTAACTAGCACAGAGAGCATTAAATATTGAATTAACACTACAATATGAAAAGCTGTTCATTAATTTATTTTATTAATATCCAATTGCTCCACATTTTATCTAATCATGACAAAAAGAACTGCATTTATTATTATGGCCTTTTCCAAGAGTTTATCTCTATTTTGTTTTATAGTTAATTTTGCATTTATTCTACACTTACTATACTACTGATATTTGTTATTATTTTCTATACACCTTTGCCTTATCACTGTTTCTTCCTCTAGAAGTACTAATTAAAGCCATTTACCAAAACACTAATACAAAAGTTGCAATGCTTTTAAAAATCTAGTCCTGGGCTGAACCCCAGCACACCAACAGCTGCCAAGCACTTCCCTGGGGAACACATACAGCTTCCAAATTCTGTATTTCGGGTGGGGAACTGAATTTTCTGTTCTACAGAGGATTTAAAGGGAAACAAATAGACTCCATCAACAGTAAAATGTGCCAACTTCAGCAGGGAGTATTTGCACTGACTAACAAGGCAGGAAAAAATAGGGACTGTGAAAAGAATGACATAAACTTGGCAGTGCCAGTCAGCCACAGGTGAAGTGACTGAGAGCATCTCTCAGACTACCCACTCTCCCCAAAATGAGCAGAACTATGCAATTCTTGCTATAAAAGACTAAGACAAACTTTGCAAAGCATGAGATGTCTGCCCACTCATGTGACACTCCTCCACAATCTGAAAGGGCACATCATGCAGAGCTAGAATCCCTGCGTTTCCCTCAGGACAACCATCACTTAAGCCTTCTCTCATTATCACAAGCCCACTGTAATCTTTTGCAGATCCTCTCTACTGCTATGTATTGCTCATACACAACTCTTGTATCTGAAAACAGATACTGTGGACCATATCTATCCCCCCCCATTTCCTTCCCTGGTCCTCCTCCTCATCCAGTTCATGGAACATGTATTTGTTTGTGCAAAATCTAAACAGAGCTGAAAGAGGAAGATGGGCTACTAACAACTTCCACATGCAATGCACGAAGAGTACTAGGAGTCAACCCCCTACCAGAAGTCCCTTGAATTAGATGACCTTCAACCCTGGAATACTCTTAAAAATGCGTTACATGTCTTATGATTTCCTCAAGCCCACTGAATTTGCAGTTTGAATTCACACACCTTTTACATTAATATATTCCCAAATTACATGTCATTACAAACTGAAGCCACAATTCTGCCAGTGTTCCAAGAGGCCACCTAATTGATAGAAACAGAATCACAGGAAGAGTATCCAAGGGAAAAGACTAAAGACTCATATCCATTTCCATTTGGGGTGTGCGTGTAGAAATCACAGTTCAGTCTGTTGAGAAGAGGAACTAAGTTCCCATGATACAAACTGTTATTCATGCCTGGTATCTCCCTAAAGCAACAGAAATACTGTGCACAACTGAAAACTGAGGTCTGGAGGATTCTCATTACAGAATACAAGAATGAGGAAATAAAAAGAAGGAACTATCATTTCCAAATCAACAATTTACTTTGCAGAACTTTATTAATCTACAGTCCCACAGTATTTTGCAGTGTTGTTTTTGCATTATGAAATGGTAATTTTTTTAACATTCTTTTTCATTAAGCTTTGTTTCAAACAGCACATATATTCAATGTCAATATCAATATTCAGGACATGAATTTGGGGATTTATATTTTTGGGTGGCAATTACAAAATTCTGGTTATTGTCTAGAGCCATATTAAATTACTTAAGAGTCATTTGTCACTATCACTGCCGTGTCTGAAACCACTAGAAGTGTGTATGCCACAATCATCTGTTGTGCTGCTGACTGTTAGAGACCATACCAAGATCATCCCTCACTATCCTTCCTCTCTGGTCTAAC